AGATTATCAGAAAATCTACAAGAACAATAAGAGAAGCTAGTAAGAATCACTAAATATTAACAAAAAAAAAATACATACCATAATTGTTACAAATCAAGAGAAGCACCAAGATTACCAGAAGAATATAAACGAAGCAAAGCCAAAAAAATCTGCAAGAACAATAAGAAAAACTATAAGATTAAATATAAAAAAAAAGGTACCAAGGTTACAAGAATATAAATAAAGTAAAGCCAAAAGATCTACAAGTACGATAAAAAAACTAGTAAGAATCATTAAATATCAAAAAAAAAAAATACATACCATATAATTGCTACAAGTCAAAAGAAGCACCAAGATTACTAGAAGATCTACAAGAATAATAAAAGAAGCCAGTAAGAATCTAAATATTAACAAAAAAAATATATATATATACTATAATTGCCGCAAGTCAAAAAGCACTAAGATTTCTAGAAGAATAAACAAATTAAAGCCAGAAAGATCTACAAGAACAATAAAAAAAGCTGATAAGAATTACTAAATATAAAAAAAAATTACCAAGATCACTAGAAGAAATAAACAAAGCAAAGCCAGAAATTTACAAAAATGATAAAAAAAGCTGGTAAAAATCATTAAATATCCAAAAAAAAAAAAAAAATACGTCCATAATTGCCGCAAGTCAAGAGAAGCACCAAGATTATCAGAAAATCTACAAGAATGATAAGAGAAATCAGTAAGAATCTAAATATCGATAAAAAAAAAATACATACCATAATTGCCACAAGTCAAAAAGCACTAAGATTTTTAGAAGAATATAAATGAATTAAAGCCAGAAAAATCTATAAGAACAATAAAAAAGTTAGTAAGAATCACTAAATATAAAAAAAAACACCAAGATTACTAGAAAAAATAAACAAAGTGAAGCCAGAAGATTTACAAGAATGATAAAAGAAGCCAGTAAGAATCATTAAATATCAAAAAAAAAAATACATACCATAATTGCTGCAAGTCAAGAGAAGCACCAAGATTACCAGAAGATTTACAAGAATGATAAGAGAAGCTAGTAAGAATCTAAATATCAACAAAAAAAAAATACATACCATAATTGCCGCAAGTTAAAAAGTATTAAAATTTCTAGAAGAATATAAACGAATTGAAGCCAGAAAGATCTACAAAAACAATAAAAAAAACCAGTAAGAATTACTAAATATAAAAAAAAATCACCAAGATCACTAGAAGAAATAAACAAAGTGAAGCCAGAAGATTCACAAGAACAATAAAAAAAGTCAGTAAGAATTATTAAATATCAAAAAAAAAAAATAAAATAAAAAAAAATATATACTATAATTGCTACAAGTCAAAAAAAGCATCAATATTACCAGAAGATCCACAAGAACAATAAGAAAAGCTAGTAAGAATCTAAATATTAATAAAAAAAAAACAAAAAAATACATACTATAATCAGTGATATACACAAGATATTTTAGGACATAGTATTTGGATATTTTAGAACATTTTAACAAAAATAAAGCTAATTTATTTAAAATTTTATTATAATAATCTGGTTTAATCTTCTAAGTAAAGTTGTAGAGCATTAGACAGAATATATCATCATATATTTTTTATAAAAATATTTTAAATAATTAAAGCTAAAATTAATATTTCAGATCTTGGACATTTTCAAAAAAGTAACAGGATAGTCAAAATATATATCACTGCTATAATTGCTACAAGTCAAAAAGCACTAAGATTTTCAGAAAAATATAAATAAATTGAAACCAGAAAAATCTACAAGAACAATAAGGAAAGCCGATAAAAATTATTAAATATAAAAAAAAAAAACACCAAAATCACCAGAAGAATATAAATGAAGCAAAGCCAGAAAATCTACAAGAATAACAAAAAATATATATATATACTATAATTGTTACAAGTCAAGAGAAGCATCAAGATTAACAGAAGAATATAAACAAAATGAAGCCAGAAAGATCCACAAAAACAATAAGAAAAGCCAGTAAAAATTATTAAATATCAAAAAAAAAAATATATATATATATATACAAATCAAAAAGCACCAAGATTACTAGAAGAATATAAATGAAGCAAAGCTAGAAAGATCTACAAAAACAATAAGAAAAGCCAGTAAGATTAAATATAAAAAAAAAAACATCAAGATCAGTAAAATATAAATGAAATAAAGCCAAAAAATTTACAAGAATAATAAAAAAAGCTAGTAAGAATCATTAAATGTTGCAGATTATCGTGAAATCAGATTATCGTGAAATTCACATAACCTGTATCTGTATATTATTTCACATAATACAAGGATCGACATTCTAAAATTCTAAATCAGGTATCATATCATGTAACTTGATCATCAAAAAAAAACAATCGTTTCTTCAATACTTATCCAAGAAAAAGCAACGCCTACCCACCCACTCAAGAAAAAACAGTGCCCACCTATTTACCCAAGAAAAAGCAGTACCTATCTACTCACCCAAAAAAAAGCAGCACCCACCTACCCATCCAAAAAAAAGCAGCGCCCACTCACCTACCCAAGAAAAAGCAGCACCTACCTATTCACCCAAGAAAAAGTAGCCCACCCATCCACCCAAGAAAAAGTAGCACCCACCCCCACCAAGAAAAAGCAACACCCACCCACCCAAGAAAGTAAACTTCCAGCATCTACTTGTACAAAAAAAAACTCTCAAGATTTTTTTTTTTTTTTTTAAAATATAGTACCAATTTTCAAAATTTCTAGAATAGCTACGGAGTATCAGACAATAGTCAAATATCTTTAGTTAAGAACTTTTCCAGATAGCATTCTGAAGAGCTCTATCATCTCTACTGCACGATTCAACTTCGTTCGCCACTACAAAAATTTCGAAGCTGATGAAAATAGAATTCTTTACATTAAGCTAGTTGTAAAGAATAGTGTGGTCATGTTTGAAAAATGCTGTGTAGTTTTCAAATATGATATAGAATTGTGTACTATAATTTTGAAATGCTTTCATGATCAAGCAAATTACCGTGAATATCATAAAACCTTTTTGGCGATTTTAGAAAGGCATATTGGAATCATACAAGAAGAGGTAAAAATATACGTAAATGAATATAACACCTGTGCGATAAATACTACCATCAAAGAAAAAATCAATATAATTTTTATAATATCTTTGGGCCTTTGGTAGTATATTCAAATTGA